TTTAATGAGGTTGACACAAGTTTTTTTCAACATGAGAAAATAATATTGACCGAGGAAAAAGTCTTACAATGAACCATAAATAAACCGAAAGTAAACGGTAATAAAACTTGTATCTTAAAATGATATACGTTCTTGATTCTCAATGAATGCAGCTGTATAAAATGCAATATAAGAAAATAACACATTGATATCATTGTGACCTTTTTCCTATCTTGAAGCACCAAAAAATTGAAAATACATACACATCTGAAATATATTCAATTCTTCAATCTAGAAATTTCAAAATGCGATCGAGTAAAGCATTTTTTCTGTGCTGCCGTCTTCCATTCTCACTGTTTGTAATCATGTCGTGTCAATTTCATTCAACGCTTGTCGATGTATTTAAAGTAACATTCAGTCAACCAGCTGTTTTACCAACCTTTTTGTACAGCCGGTTAATATCATTTTTACCGAGAACAGTATAAAACCATTCCAGATAACCATAAGGTTTGAAAAATACCATTTCGCTATACATCGTGGTGTGGAATGCATCGTTTTGTGCCTGTACATTTGTGTGAGGGATTGCTTGGTCTGGTGTTCCCCTGACCGCCTCACTAAGTACGTGTATGTATGAATGAAGTAGGAAATTAACCTTTAAATAATCATATATAAGCATTACCAGGAGAAATTGCGTTCATAGAGATATGAGCGCAAATAAATCAATGTCATTTTTGAAGCTTCTCTTCTCGCCTCGATTAAGATGAGACATCCTTTAGAATCAAACATGTTGGTGACGGTAGGCTCTTACAGGAATTTTGTCTGCGCTGTCTACTTCAATATCCAAAATGTAAGGGATTGTCTTTAGTTAGGTAAATTTTAACTAAATATTTCAAAGTAACATTTATATGATATGTATATACCGTTATGTTTTGTAAGGAGAGGGTTTATATAGGCTGTGCATGTTGCTCAATTCCTTTTGTACATAAGATCAGTACAATAAAATATTCTGAAATGAAATAACTAAATTTTTAGAATGTAAATAAATCGTTAGAACGATATTTTCCAATGTTCTTGCTGGAATGAAATTGAAAAAAAGCCGTTCGATCTTTTTTTTAAAGTGTTACAATTGCAGGTATGACTTTGGAACTTTTTTAACCGCTTGTCAAACGTTAAAATGTATTCCTTTGGTGCTATGCCAAACATAAGATGTTATAGCAAACAGTTAACTCCACAAATTAGCAATTGATTAATTGCAAAAATGTCATAATGTAGAATCTTTCACAAAACACTTGCTAAAGTTTCTTTTCTCCGGTTACGATTTCCGTTCCTTTAAGAGTCTGTGGTACAGTACAGATACAATGCTAAATGATCTTGGTAAAATGGCTTGTATTATTGGATCTTCTATCAGAAATGGTGCCTGTTTAACTGTTTGATACACTCTTAATTTTCAAAATTAATCCGAATGGCACCAATCACGTTCGTAGTAGACCTTCATTTTCAAGAACATAAACACCATTTATGTCAAGTAAAATCCAAACTGATCTGATTTTTGATAGAAATCGTTGGTTTTGTTAAGTTTGGTAATAGTATCTGTGTGAGATGGCTTTAATTGATCATAACAACCTTTCTCCACATCCTACATTAATTTGTAGCCAAAGCAACGATCCCCCCATTGCTATTGAAACAATTTCAGATATTAAAGATAACTCTGTTAATATTGGTTGTACTTTAAGCACATATCTGAAGCATCGGTTGACCTACGGAACATGACGCTTTAGTACAGGTGTACCGGCTGTGTGGACAAACAAAATGGCGATAGACATGGCACAGCAATAGCCTAGCGTACAAGCTCGGTGGTCATACAGCACGATTCAGCACACGTGTAGCTGTTTTACTGCTGAATCATGGCATCAAACATAAAAAATAACAACATTCCGTTGAAAACATTTCATTTTTACAAATCAACTTATCGATTGCTTGAAATATTTACAATTTACAGCACGATTTTTTTTTATTTGTCAGGAAGCATGCGAACATGTACCACATGTCTTGCTCAAGTGGACTTTCAGGTGTTTGTATTTATTTTCTTTTTATATGTAATTATTTTAGTTGGAGTGGTTAGAAAGGAATTTAGGTTGACGAGTTAACTCCGATAGTATGTTTCATGCATGGATGAGTCTGGCTGCTGTTTGTGTACGGCTTTTTCTCCGATCTTGATAATAAACAGATAGTTAATTTTGGAAAAAAAAACCACTTAAGATAACTCTCAAAATACATACCGGGAGACTAAAATAATTGACGATTTAAGACAGAAGTGTCCTGCATTTCAATTACATCTACTTCAACAGTACAGGTGAATGTGCTTATAAGTCTAAAGGAATAATGAATACAATATCAGATTAAAATATTTCGGATATACAGTAAGACATATTTGTTTGTACCAGTACCAGTGTAGGTTTTAGTATGATATACAAATAAAAATTATGTCGTCAAAAACAGGACATGACAATCAGGTCTCTATTACTACTGATAGCGTCTATGTTATAACTGTTATTTGAGAACAGGTTCCCTTCTTACAGGGCTATGATTTTTGAGAGAAAAAAAACAACATATCACAGTTTATCTTCAATTAGTAATGGTATCCTTGACCTGAGGAATGTTTAAACATCTACATATCACAGTGTGATCACCATGACAAATTTTAGACGGATTGAAAATAAATATAAACTCTATTAATTTTATAAAAATTATGAAACATTGATCACTCATGTTGGCCCGGATATTAGCGCGGGGGGAAAAAGCCGAAGTTCCCGGAGAAGGTTAGTCTTCCGGGTTCCGAGATAATCTCCATAAACGAAAGTGTCGGCGGACGGACAGACAGGCAGACGGACACCGTGATTGCAATTGAGGATTCCGCATCTCAAATACAGGGGCCTTAATTTGGACGATGACATCTGTTGTTTACTGTAATACTGTAACAGTTAACTTATTCCTCTGTCGGACATTACGTTGTGTTATCACTACGAAATAACGACGATGCCTCTTAGGACAACGATCTTTGATTATGATAGATGTTATGGGATTTTGTCTATTTTACAAATGGTATTTGACATTAAAGTGCAGGGAAACCTACAGACTTCTCAGTGTGAATCTTTAATTAAATAAAACAGTCGACGAAAACAACTTATTTAACAAAAAAATGAATAATTTGAAGAACGAAACATCACTTTAAAGTTATTAGTAATAGCAAATTTCAATTTAACTAGCAATTAGCCGGTCAATGACTGTGTATTTTCGAGTGTTTACTTTATCCATATGTTTATAAAAGGTTGGTAATAGCTATGCGTTGTTACAGACAATTTTTAAATAAAAGGATATTACTATAAACAATTGGCTTTATTCTCCTGACTAACCTGACGCATTGGTGTGAGAATGGAAGTATTAACTAATCCAAAAATAAATGTGAATCACAAGACAAGAGAAATCAATGCCCCCTCATCATGATTGATGTATTTTGCGAAGAAATATGGGTACATGGGGAGTGAGTTATCTATTGATAGAGCAAAGTTGTACTAAACGAGTGTTTTATTAAGAGTGAATATACCGATTCCGGTTCTATTTTATTTGTTTAATAGGATATCTTAAGTTTAAATTTTAACTTGGCACTGAAAAATAGTGATTTATATGATGGAGAAAAAAATTATCAGCCTCGGTGTAGGAATAATCAATAAAGTTACAAAGAAATATATTACCTATTTGAAATATTGCTCTCAGATGCAGAAAATAAAATGCAAACACCATATAATGGCAGTTTTGTTCATTTGAGAAGCATCGGTGGTGCTTTTCGTACTTAACATCAAACGAATTAGGCGCTCTCAGTTCGCTAGTAAAGCTAGGTTTGAGACAACATAATCACGATATACCGCCGCAGATCTCAAAAAACCGGTAGAACTCTCTCTTATTCTTGTCAGCTAAATTACCGAAAAGAAAAGTTTTCTTCGAATGTGTGTCTCTATGCTGTAGATTAGTGAAGTCAGGGACATTCAAAATGAGGCGGAATAACACTGACCTTTCGGGGTCACGCTATTGTTCATGACGCCATTAACAATCAATTTTCCGTGACGTGTTGGGGTTAGTTCGGGTCATTGACGTCATTAACAATCGCCATCCGGGGCGCACATGCAAATGAGAAATTTGCGGACAGTACATATTGGTTTTATCTTCACAATTGTTTTCCGTTGACCAATCATATGCCGTGTTATATCTCGATAAATTAGAATAAAACTTCAAGGGAAAGGTATTGGATCACAAACCTATAAAACCCGCTACCCTCGAGGTATGAACGAACAATAAGCACTGGTTCTCCGTTTGTTTCCCTTCCCGGAGGGCATTTGACACACTAGTACTGGTTCACTGATATTGGACTCACGCGCTTGCTTCTACGTGTCGGTTGAACGGACTGACAGACTCGGTTTCTCGGTGTGTTATACGTATTCGCCATTTCATCATATACTTGTAACACTTTATTTACTCTTATCAACGTTTGATAATATATCTTTTTTTTTGTGTGGGAAAGATGTAGTGTTTCCGATAGCCAATCCGGCAGGCTGCACACGTCAATTCGAAAAACATTTGCGATTCCCCGTCATAATCTTAATTTGACGCCACAAGATGATTGGTCCCCAATAACTCTAACAGTTAGAAACTAAAGTCCGGTACAGATACTAATTTTAAAACATCCACGTGTAATATCCGGAATGAGATTAATAAGATTGGTTTAAATAATTAATGCAAAGTTTGTTTTGAACACAAACCGCTGCAAACCACTCACTAAGTCTGCAGTGTGGGAGTGTTGTTCGGACGATATGTCTCGATATCATTTCGACAGCTGACGTAACTGACTCGAAACATTGTAGCTTAGTGAGAAGTTTTCAGCGGTTAAGAGTGGAGACACTGGTCATTTGCACTCTCTGCTTGACAAAGGAAACATACCATTTCGAAAGCTCGTAAAATCATTTTTCAATTAAAGTTGTAAAAACAAACTTTCATTTATTCACGTGAAAACGTTCTTGCTGTCAATTGTTATTCACGACATACATAAGATTGTTGATAAGATTTCCTAAGGTTGTACAACGGAAATGTAAACATTACAAACGTCAATACATCAACAGAAATGTTTTACTACACCAATAATAGCCACGCCTTATACACGTAAATACAATTAAACGTCAAATATTGGTATAAATCGATTCAGATACAAATCAATATTTACATTTTTTTTTAATAAATCTGGATTTCATAATGATACAATTTAAGCTATTAGCGCCCTTGTTGCATTTAGTATTGATGCCCGTGTTGCATTAGGTTTTCGTTGTCCTTCTTGTGATTGGCTATCAGTGTCCTTGCTGCGCTCGGTTATCAGTGGTCTTGCTGCGCTTGCAAATGCTTATCAGTGTGCTTGTTACGCTTGGTTATCGCTGTTGTTGCTGCGCTTGGTCAACGGTGTCCTTGCTGCGCTCGGTTATCAGTGTCCTTGCTGCGCTTGCAAATGTTTATCAGCATACTTGTCACGCTAGGTCATCGGTGTCCTTACTGCGCTTGGTTATCAGTGTATGATTTGCATTTAGCCAGCACTGTCCTTGCTGCGCTTGATCGTCGCTGTCGTTGTCGGGGTTTTCATGTTTTTCTCTTTGCAGATGCTTGTTTTTGCCTCGTGGTGTGAACATTATTATTAATACCTTTCATTGTCAGTATTTTCGCGAGGTCACGTGATCGTCATTTTCCGACTGATACGCTGCATTACTGAGCCCCGTGTATTCGTGTTCCTCACTTTGTCCGTTGACGTATTGAGGCGATGTGTTCAGTTGAGTGAAATAATCACCACTTGACCTGAAATCAACGCAAAGACTACATTTCAGTTATTAATATGGTATATTGTTAATTTTCGTTTGTTTTATGTGAACTAGAACTAAGTTCGATAAGGTAGTTCGACCGAATGTAGTATACATGTACCTCCATATTTGTATTTCGGCTCTTCGTTTTTTTTTCGGGAGACCCATACTATTTCGTCTCTTCGTTTTATATAGGGAGACCCATACTATTTCGTCTCTTCGTTTTATATAGGGAGACCCATACTATTTCGTCTCTTCCTTGTATATAGGGGAACCATACTATTTCGACACTCCCTTTCACCAATACTATTTCGGCTCTTCGTTTTACACAGCGAGACCCATACAATTTTGGCGATTCTCTTTTTAAAGGAAAACCAATATTATTTTGGCAATTCTGATTTTAATGGTAGGCCCATACTATGCCGGCTCCTCCTTTTATATAGGGAGACCCTTACTGTTTTGGCGATTCTTTTTTTAAAGGTAGACCTCTACCATTTTGGCGATTCTTTTTTTAAAGGTAGGCCCATATTATGTCGGCTTTTCCTTGTATATAGGGAGACCCACACTATTTCGGCGCGCCCTTTTATATAGGGAGACCCTTACTGTTTTGGCGATTCTTTTTTTAAAGGTAGACCTCTACCATTTTGGCAATTTTTTTTTTAAAGGTAGGCCCATATTATGTCGGCTTTTCCTTTTATAGAGGGAGACCCACACTATTTCGACGCTTCCTTTTATATAGGGAGACCCTTACTGTTTTGGCGATTCTTTTTTTAAAGGTAGACCTCTACCATTTTGGC